ATTTGCCTAGGGGAATCCACACCTTATCTTATGGATCAATGATATCAAGAATGGAACCATTTTTAAAAATTTCAATTTTATTGATTTGATTTATAATGGAGTTATATATTTAATTTATGCAAAGTTAATCCTTCTTTACTACTACTTAAAAGAGAGATATAATAAATTATGTATACTTTTAACCCTAAGCGGTGAACTTAGATGATAAAGAAATTTTTCTTATTTTTAATTAGATGTTTGATTCAGAATGATAAGAATTTTCTCTATTTTAACTAGATATTTTGAATTCGAGCAAATCCCAAAGTCCTTTTAAACAACTTGGAAAGAAGCAACTTTGTCCCTTTATGGGTCTACTATCTTGTTATTCCTCGTATTTTACTTTTTTATAACTTACAGACTTGGATTCAATCTACAATTTATAATATATAAAATGATAATTGGAGGATTGGAAATTGCTAAATTTTTTTCCGTACGGCAATCAGTATTTTTTAAAATCGGAAAAAAAAAAAAAAAGACAGAAAGGAAGGAGAAAAAAAATTATCAAAAACTAAAATCAAATACTAAATTCAGCCATAACGTTTTTCCATAAATATATATATATATATATATATATATAATATATATATTCTTCATTTTTATTTACGTTAATATATATTCTTCATTTTTATTTACGTTATTTCACTTTTGATTGCAAGAAAATGAATGAAATGTTAAAGTCCAATTTCAATAGTTAATTCTTTATAATCAAATGCTATTTTTTTAATGAAATCTTAGATGCTAATTATATAATTAATAAAAAAATTCATTTTATCATATACAATTATTTTACCAAATACCTTTGACTTTTATTATCGTCTTATCATACAAAAATTAGTTTAACAATAACATTATTTACTTATAATATGAATATTATATAGATAGAGATAGGTTTTTTAGTTTATAATTATATAAAATCATGTTTAACATTATAAAAATCTAAACAATGTTGAGGTGTATTAGGAAGACAATTGACTTGAGTTAGTTGTTTGGATAAGTTAAGTTTTTTCCGACATATAAAATAAATTAAATTTGCTGATAAAAAATTCTAAACAATATAAGTTGAAAATTATAACCACATTTAAGTATTATACTAAATAAATAAATGAGTATAAATAATGAATAAATAAAACATTATGCAACACACAAAATTAAAAAAAAAAAAAAGTTAGTTATAAATGTGAGATTAGACTAAAAGGAATAAAGTAGTAAGGTAGTTGTTGCGAATTAATTAGGTACCTCTAATCACTACAAAATCTTGTACTTAAGGTTGATAATTGGAGCCTGAATATTACATTGTCTCCTATTATTTGCTCCAGTCTGGCATAGTTAGGGACGCTAAAATATGGTCAATAGATATAAAGATGATTGTCCTAAATATTAGGGATTTCCTCTTGTTGGAAAGATTAGTGCCTTCAAACTCAAATCAAAATGCTCACAATTATAATAAATGATCAAACAATGTTTAGTTCTTACAAGTATCTAGATTAAAATTTGGTGCTGTAGTATGAAAAGAAATAAAGTGTTCCTTAAGAAATCAAACTTTTGTTCTTGTAAATGAAGAAGAAAATGTTCCTTCCGTCCATATTAAAAGTAATTTTTTGCATTTCAATTATAATTTTAAAATATGGGGATCAGGGGTATATACTAACCGAATCGAGGTCGAACCTATTAGGCTCGAAACTTGACTTGATAGGATTTAGCTCAGCTTAAAAATCAAGGACCCGATAATTTTAGGCTCGAGTTCGATTTGAGATACGAGTTCAACTCAAAAAATTTTGAGTTCGGGCTCCAATTGAGATTCGAGGCTCGAGTAAATCCAAAATAAATATTATATATATATATATGTAAAAGCTCGACAAGGCTCAATAAGGTTGGACGAACTTTCGAGCTGAACATCATTAGATTGAGCTCGGCTTATTTAGTAAACAAGTTAGTTCGAGCTTGGGCTCGATTCGAGCCAAACTTTTTCGAACTTTTTTCAAGCTGAATTCTAATAACTCACGAGCCGGCTCGCTCATTTACACCCCTACCGTGGATTAGAGTTTACAATAAGACCTTAATCGCTATGTTTTTTAAGTACCTTAATAAGGTATGTATATGCATATAAAACCACAAATCAGCATGACATTAATAGTTGACTAATCTTACATCTAAAGAGTAAAGACTAACACCACAAGGTGATTTCTCAGCCAAAATTTGGCCCAAAAATCTTTTTAAAAAAAGGGTCTTAGAGTTGGAAGGAATCAATTGAGTATCTTCTAAAGAATCAAACTTATTTATTTAAAACAATATCTAGCAAACAGTATTCTAAAATGGCAGAGTCAGCACCATGTGTGAGAGTTTAGAATTTAGATACCCTTTTAGTATTATTTTAAAGAGAGAATTTGTGGCTTAGAAGCCATAAAATGTGGAGTAGTGAGGTGTTAATAAATATAAAGAAATAAAGCACTTTTATGGGGAAGTGTTGAGATGGAATATGAAATGTGTTGTTGCTCATTTTTATATTCATTTCCTGATTTTTGAGGTAGGTGGATGTGATTCTTGCTTGGCATCTCTCATTCAAGCCTGGCAACTTAATGCTGCCCTTTATTTTTTTATATTTTATAAATAATATATTATAAACAAAACAAATTTCTGCATATAGATTTTATTGCTGGTTAATCAAATATTTTGCTCTTTTACTAAAGTTTGTATCTATTGAAGATTTAATCCAATTATTTCAAAATCTATTTCTTACCCTTCTTTTGGCTTTTGAAATTTGTTTTTTGTGATTTTGTCCCTTCGATGGCTTTTAAATCTTTCTTTTTTTTTTTTTCTTCTTTACCGTCTTCACTTTCTAAATAACCTCTTTTTCTCTTGGTTGCAAAAGCATCAAGAACATCTTTCTCGAAACATTTATCAATGGCTTCTTTTTTAATTTTCTGCATAAAAACTATAAGAATTTTAACTTCCAAGCTTCGCCATTGCATTGGATTCATTCCCTTCTTCTTGTTTAATTTCTTCTACAATTTACAAATTAAATGCTCAAATTAGCAAATGGGTTTATTGAGATTCTGTTTGCAAATCTCCAATGAAAAGCTATCCAAATAAATTGAATATAGTAACAAAGATTAATAATACCCACAGCAAAGTAACTTAAACTAGTTCTTTTGTTTCAATAGAATAAAATGATAAATCAAAATTAAAGAACAAGATTAATTCAGTTTATATAATTCAGACAAAAAAAAAAAAAAAAAAAAACAAAAAAAAAAAAAAAAAAAAAAAAAAAAAAAGAAGAAAAGTTTGCACTTTTACTGGCTCCGATAAGCACCAGCTAATCCCCACCACATCGACTCCATCAGGTTGGTTCTTCATACACTCCGTAAAGAGTCATCCACCTTTCCTTGCTCAGCTCTTATCACCATTGCCCACGACAAATTCTTATCCAATGACCTTGAACTTTCCTATGCAAAATCTCAACTATCAAAACCACAATCGAGGTCATGAAAGCTAGAATTACGCTTGTCAGAGTTAATCTCTCTTTCGATACCGAAGATAGCAACCATGAACGACCACGCATTAATTGCCTTCGATTTGCCGTAGAAGATGACATTGTTATACTTGGGAGTGTTTTTGGGATTTAAAATTTTTCTCTATGGTTGCACTCACTTAAATGGCTAAAACTAATAGGAAAATTGTATAATTTTGGATGGAAGGATGAAATTATTGACGGATTCAAATTTAAGGACTTTATAAATATTTTTTAAAAATAAACGTCCTAAAATATTAATTAGGCTAAAATTTAAGGACGTATTTTTTTTCCCTATCTTTAATATGTTGATTTCAGCCCTTGAAAATAGGTTAAGAGAAATTTATTAAATTTGATTCTAAAAATTTATAACAACTAAATAACAATTTAAATTTTTTCCACAATATTTCTGAATTAATGATGTTTTTTTAAAGAAAAAGAAAAAAAAAATCAACTTCACCAAAAAATGAGTTGATATCATTTTGATTATTAATTTTGCCCCAACCATTAAGTTGTTAGTCGAGTGCTTACCTTGTAATATTAGTTTAAAATAGTTGAATATTGTATTTTGTAAATTTAAATATATTAAATATTTATTAAATAATTAAAATTTTGAAAAAATATTATTTAAAAATAATACTAATTATATATCAAATTAAATATTTTATATATTTACCGAAAAAGTGATTAATTGGTAATTGTTTATTCTCTGTGCTTACTGCTGAGTACTAAAACAGGTCATCAGCTCATGTAAATAGGTACTGCTCATTAACTATCTTCTCAGTTCTCGTTAATTACTTTTCATTAAATAAAAAAAAATCTCGTATTAGAGATCGCAGGTCAATTAATTCTGCTGTCCATCTGCCTTTTATTTGAAGTGTTCTTCAAAAACAAAAAAAAAAAAGAGCAATTTAATTCTAAATACATACATGTTCCCATTAGCACCATCACAAATAAAATTTACAATGAAAAATAAACAAAATAAAATTAAAAAAGAGTTGCCACACTTGTATCGCAATCCAAATTTAACAAAATATTTCTTTATTAATTCCAAGATCAAATAATAGTTATCCTCACAATTCAGTTAGATAAGAAATTTAGGACTGTAGATGAGTTTATTGTGGCAAAAGAAATCCTAAGATGGAGCCTAATTAACTTTTTCTTTGTCTTTTTTTTTTTTTCCCAAAAAACAGATAACATGATCAATTTATAGTCCAAGAAATTTTAAAGTTTCACTTTTTCCCTCTTATTTATAGCTATTATTAGTGTTATTAGTTTTATTGGGTTGACACTTCACACTACGCAGTACAATCATGTCATTTGCTTTGGCACTGCATGCTGGCTATTTTAGTTTTGGCTAGAAGAGAAGTAGAGGAAAGAGCAATACAGGACTGTGTTAATTGGGAATCAATCAAAGGTTAGACATTTAATAAAGAGAAGAGAAGAGAGAGGTTGGCAATAAGAAACCTTTGTGTCAGTTTTGGCGTGCATAGTTTAGCAAAGGTGATCACTGTTGAGTCATGAGTGCTGCCTCTTAATGCCCCCCTAAAAATTGAATGAAAATCTCTAACTTTCCTCGCTAAAATTAAAGCAACAACAAACAAAGGAACTGTGAACAATTTTCTTGTGTTACATGCACTACACTACACTACACAAACTAGTAATGCCAGTACACGCAACTCCCTTGAAACATTTCTTGACAGCTTACCCTATAATGTAAAAATTTTTGGACTCTGCAACGAAGTGACAGCTCATTTTCTTTGTTTATACTTCTTGTGTGGTGATTTCTTTAAGCCTTTTGGGTTGGTTATTGGGTCTGAACTCATGCACGCCATTAAGCAATTTTTGGGTGAGTTTTCTTTTTCTTTTTGTTTTTCTGTTTCTTTTATATTTTGTTTTGGGTTTGGCACTTTACGATCTTTATCTTCTTTGTTAATGGATTTTGATGATTCTTTGGTTTCAGTCGTAAAGGTTCGGTTTTTGGGTGATTTAACTCTTTTGTTGAAATGGGTTTCTTGATTTATCTACATTGGTTCAAGGAATTAGGTGGTGTTGTTCATGGCATTTTCTAGATTTGCATAAAACTGGAATTCTTGGGTTTTGCTAGGGTTTACAAGGAGAGTGGCTTTTGGGGATTTGTCGTTTGGTTTCCAAGTTGCTTATATTCGTATATCATTATTGTGCGTGGGGTTTGTGGGTTTATGATGTACTAGCTCAACTTGATCTCTAGTTATGAATATTTAAGTAGATTTCTGTTATATTCTGGTAGATTCCACAGATTTCAGTTCCATTTTTGTTTGTGATTTTGTTGTTGGTAGTTGATGTTTGATTGTTAATTATGATTACATCTTTACTTTGTGTAACTCTCACTTATTCCCATCCTTTGCATTTCTTTAAAAAATAAAAATAAAATTAAAGAGAGATGCTTGTTGTCTACAGTTGTGGTGGCTTCTTCAACTGATACCAAGATGCTGTTTTCTGTTGCAGGTTTTCAAACTTCAACGGTAAAAAAAATATAGATATATTTGCACATTGTTTGTACTTGTCAAGTTGGGAACCTGAGAAATTTATTTTTAGAGTCAAGAGGTCTTATTAATATGAATCTTTAAATAAAGGGAAGGAAAACAAAGAAACAGAGTAATCAGAGTAATCTTCATAAAGAAATGGTGAAAGAGTGAGGTGGAGTCAGATTTATGCTTGTGGGTGTCTTCAATTTGTGAATTGTTTAGTGCAGAGAGCCTGTTGGCTATGTCCCCTGGGGTGATTCATTACGCCCGGGCTCCGTGGGCTTTGCCGCCGATTTAGGCAACAACTATTTCTTTGGTATTCTTGTTATATAAGAGATCCTTTCGTTAAAATATCGCTAAATCCCATCTTCTCAATTATCCCTTCAAACACACTCTCTCTCTTAGTCACACTTCCTGCCTCGGTTGCTGTCAAGATTCGGTCATACCTTCGTGGCGTATATCTTTGAGACCTTATTTTAGATCCTAATTACTCTCACTGAAGCCTGAATAGTCTGTTACAATTCAGGAATTCGGTCCCCACACCTGGTGTATTCTTTTCCAATTCAGGGAATTTCTCCTCGAGTTGTGGTTATGTATTGAGAATGTGTGGTAGTGAACATAAGTCATACGCTGTTTGATACAGTAGTGATCGATTGAGTAGCGGGGAAGGTTTTCTTTTGGGGTGTTTTAGCAGATTTAGGATCTTTTGCTTGATCAACATGAAGTTTATGAAACTTGGATCAAAGCCAGATTCATTCCAGACAGATGTGAACAATACAAGGTATCCACTCTCCCTCTCTCCTTTTTTTTTTTTTTTTTTTTTTTTTTTTTTTTTTTTTTTCAGTGGGTGTTGGAGCCGGCCAAGATATTATGGCAAGCAACTAATTGATCTTTCGGTATTGAGTTCTTGTTATTTATCCAGAGATCACCTTTCGTTAAAAAATATCGCAAAGTTCCCATCTGTCGTTCATTATCCCTTTTCTAAAAAAACATCACCTCGTCTCTTCCCTTAGTCCGACCAGCACTCTGATCTGCGCATGATAGGTGCTGATGGTCATGAGCTTCGGGAGTCATGATACCAGTTCTGTGACGTATAGGCTGCTTTTGAGACCTTATTTTAGAATTGCCTCTCTTAAAAAATTAGCTTGCATCACTATAGCCCATGACGATAGTCTGTCTACGACGATTCGAGGATTCGGTCGCCCACACGGCTAGAGTTGTAGTCTTTTTCGCAATGTCAGGGATTTCACTGCCATCCTCCGATGTTTGTGCTTATGTCTATTTAGAGAAGTGTGTGGTAATGTGAACATAAAGTCATAGCGCTGTTAGAACTTAAACAGTAGTTGAGTCGGAGTTTATGACCGAGTAGCGAGGGAAGTTTTCTTTGGGGTGTTTTAGCAGCGTCTGTGAGAGTTCCGTTTTTGCTATGATCAACATGAAGTTTCGTTAATTGGAAACTTCGGGGATAAAAGCGCCAGAGTTCATGGGAATACAAGACAGAAGGCTGCTATGAAACAAGTAGTATCACAAGGTAAGTCCAGCTGCTCCTCCTTCTCTCTCGTGTTTTTAGTTTTTTTTTTTTTTTTTTTTTTTTTGATTGTTTTTTTTTGGAATTTCCTTGCGTGAGAATTTGATGTGGAAATTAATGCCTTCTTGTGGTCACTGTGAAAATTTTTGATTTCTCTTTACCTGCCATATTGCTCCAATTCACATTCAAGCTAAATCAAACTTAATCGGATTATTTCTCAGCTTCGTTAGCGGGTGCCTAAGATTATTTAGGCTTAGTGAATTTGATAATGGCTGTTATGTTTCTTAGTTCAGGCGTTTGGTCTATTCACAGAATGTTTGTCATGCACTTGAAGCATAAATGACGCATGTATTTCTTGATTCTCTCCAGCGAATGGCCTCTTAGCAGTATTCGTTTTATGATATCGTAAAAAGAAAAGTTTATTATATGGTAGATAAACTATTATTGGTGTAAATGCCCACTGAAATAATTAGATAATTTTGAGGAGCAGCTAAATAAGCTCATGTCAGATTATATAAAAAGTTCGTAAATATGTTGATTCAACCTTTCATTTACTGAAAGTCTGAAAATTAATAGGATATTGGGCGCAAAGAGAGAGTGGATGTGAAATTAAATACCAATCGTTGAGATTAGTCTGATATAACTCGGGCAATAATTGGAAGCCAAGAATCTGTCAGCTAAAATATTAATTTTTTTTTTTTTTTTTTTTTTTTTTTTTTTTTTGAATTTCCTTGCTAGAATTTGATGTGGAAATTATCCTTCTTGTGGTACTGTGAAATTTTGATTCTCTTCTGCCATTTCATTCATTCAAGCTAATCAAATCTATCAGGATTATTTCAGCTTCGTTAGCTGCTAAGATCATTTAGGCTTAGTGAATTGAAATGGTTGTTTCTTAGTTCAGTTGGTCTATCATTTTTGCTTGAAGCATATAGACCCAGTGTTTCTTGATTACTTCCACGAATGCCTCTTACAGTATTGTTTTATGATATGAAAAAGATATATGTAGTATTTGTGTAAATGCCACTGAAATAGAAATTGAGACATAATAAGCTCATGTCAGATTATATAAAAGTTGTAAATATGTTGATTCACTTCATTACTAAATCTATATTAATAGGATTGCAAAAGAAGGATGTGAATAAATACCAATTGAATTAGATCTGATATACAATAATGAAGCCAAAATCTGTCAGCTAAATAATAAGATTCAAGCATAATTTGTTTACTTATGCATCCACTGGGAAGTTTAGTACATTACTGATACTGCCAAGAGGTGGTAATCAAGTTTGGCATTTATTCTTGTGAGGATGTAAATGGCTTATTTTCAGCAAAGAATATTATTGCTACTGTGATATTTACATTGTGGATCAAGGGTTTGTTTTACCTTTGATGCAATATTATCGTTCATGTAATCCTACTTTTTTTTTCTATAATTAATATTGCTTTTATGTGTAAATTGTAGTCTTTGAATGCTTAAATATTCTAACTTGGTTCTGATCACTTCCATCTGCTATTTGCTCAAAGAAATATCCATATTTCTCTCTCTCTCTCTCTCTCTATATATATATATATATATATATGGACTTGTTTTAAGTTTTTAACATCCTTAGAATAAATCTTTTTTAAAATCTATTTTGAGAAACGCATAATTATGAATTCTGGGTAATGTGAAAAATCTATATTTTACTTGCAGGTATGTGGCTAATGAGTTGGCAACTGACTTCATCATTAATGTTGGGGATGCAAAGTTTTTACTGCATAAGGTACAATGATCTTTCTATTCTGATAAACATGTTAGGCTTAGGAACAAGGGATCTTTAGAATTACTGGCATTGAGTTTTTCTATGAAGTAACCAACAAGCATTCAGATTTTGGTTTAGGCTTAGAATTGCATGATGCATGCTTGTTTTTTTATGTAATCTATTCAGGTCGACTTTTATAGTGTGTTCGGATAAGAATTTAGGGAAGGAAAGAAAATATGGAAGGAAAATAAAGAAGAATATTTCCTCTTGATGTTTGGATATTTGAGAGGAAAATAAGGGGGGCAAACGAGTTTATGAATAGTGAAATTATGAGTTTAACCTTTATTTTTTTTTTTTTCAATAAAATACAATTAATGGGGGTAAAATTGTAATTTTGACCATTTTCCTCCAACTACCCTTCTAAATGGAAGAGAAAATGACATGTGGGTCCCATAATTCATTTTTCCTCTATATTTTCTTTCCTCTTATATTTTCTTCATTCCCAAACAAGTGAAGGAAAGAAAATTGATACTATTTTCCTCCTCAATTTTCTTTCCTTTCTTATTTCCCACCAATCCAAACATAGTGTTAGTCCATAAAACTTTACTGTTGCTGACACACAAATCTAGCAAAATTGGCACTCATATATCAGGACCATGATACCAACCAGCTTGGCTTGTTTAAAGTAATTATTTCACCAAAAACAAAAAATGCATTTCCCAAACAAAGACTAATTTTCCTTAGATAATCCAAGAAAGTAATTATATATCTGGCTTCAGCCAAATTAAGCAGCATAGAGTTCTGGTTTGCAATTATTCAAGCGAGATTAGCATGAGCCATGCATGTAAATCTGCTGTTTTCCACCATCTTTCGGATACCAATGATTCCAAAATCTGGCATGCAGTTTCCTCTTTTGTCAAAAAGTGCTCGCTTGCAGAAGTCAGCTGCAACTGCCAATGGCAAAAACATCAATGAGGTTGACATTTCTGACATTCCTGGTGGTCCTGCTGCCTTTGAGATATGTGCCAAATTTTGCTATGGCATGATTGTGACCCTCAATGCCTACAACGTTGTTGCAGCTCGATGTGCAGCTGAATACTTGGGAATGCACGAGACCATTGAAAAAGGGAACCTCATTCATAAAATTGATGTTTTTCTTAGCTCTAGCATTTTTCACAGTTGGAAAGATTCAATCATTGTTCTGCAGACCACAAAGTCACTGTTTCCACTATGTGAAGAACTGAAAGTAATGAGTACCTGCGTTGATAGTGTAGCTACCAAGGCCTGTGTTGATACTTCAAAAGTTGACTGGTCTTATAGCTATAATCGGAAGAAACTCCCAGAGGAAAATGGAAATGATCCAGATGCGAATGGTATTAGAAACCGGTCAGTGCCAAAGGATTGGTGGGTTGAGGATTTATGTGATCTTCATATTGATTTGTATAAGCGTGTTATTATGACAATTAAAAGCAAGCAAATACTTCATAGTGATGTGATTGGAGAAGCCTTGAAAGCTTATGCATATAGAAGATTGCAAGGTTTAAGCAAGGGTACAATCCAGTGTGGAGAAGCAATGAAATACAAATCAACAGTTGATACAATCGTCTGGTTGTTGCCTACTGAGAGAGGCAGCGTATCTTGTAGTTTTTTGCTGAAGTTATTAAAGGCAGCCATTTATGTAGACCTTGGGGACACAAAGAAAGGACAGATAATCAGGAGAATAGGATGGCAACTAGAGGAGGCCTCTGTGCATGATCTTTTGATACGAGCAACAGAAGGGGAGAGTATGATGTATGATGTTGATACAGTAAAGAAAATAGTGGAAGAGTTTCTAATGCAAGATCTAAATGCTGAGGTCGATTCATTGGAAGAAGAAGGCCATGAGATACAGGAGATGAGAAAATCTGGGATTTTATCAGATGCTTCTAAGCTTATGGTGGCAAAACTGATAGATGGGTACCTGGCTGAAATTGCAAAGGATCCAAATCTACCCTCGTTGAAGTTTTTTGAGATTGCTCAGATGGTATCTGGTACAGCGCGACCTGCACATGATGCTCTGTACCGCGCAATTGATATGTTTCTCAGGGTAAGTATCACTCAAAACTTAATTCTGTACCAAATTATGAAGGTGACTTTGCTTTTAGCAAACTAAACTCTACTATAACCAACCTTGATGAATCGGGAAAAGTCTCATCCTATTATTGAGAAAAGTGAAATGCAAGCAAATCACTATAGAGGGCACAGGAATTGTTTAGTTCCACATTTTTTGTTTCCTTTTTATTTCAGAAAGAACTATGGCATGAACTGATTTTCCATTTGGAATTTTGTTTAAAAAAAAACAGTTGATTAGAATGTTGTTGCATTCTTGCTAGCTATGAAGTAAAACAATGTTGTATCGTTATGGTCAACAGAGTAAAGCGTTATAATAGATAACTTTTTCGATAGGGTGGCTAATATCTAGAGCTTCTTTTCATTTGGCGCAGGAACATCCAGGGATCGGCAAAAGTGAGAGGAAGAAGATATGCAAGTTAATGGACTGCAAGAAGCTATCAGTTGATGCATGCATGCATGCAGTGCAGAACGAGAGATTGCCATTGCGGGTTGTTGTTCAGGTACTCTTTTTTGAGCAGGTCAGGGCAGCTGCCACATCAGGGAGTAGCACTCCTGACCTTCCTAAAGGTCTTAGGGACCTAAACAACGGATCTCATGGGAGCTCGAGGTCAGCTGTCACTAATCCAGAGGAAGATTGGGATGCTGTAGCTACAGCTGAGGAGCTCAAGGCGCTGAAGGCAGAAATAGCTTCCTTGAGATTAGGAAATGCAGAAAGAAATGGAGGCGATGGTAAAAATTGCACAGATAAGGCCACAACTAACAAACTGAAAGGTTTGCTCAAGTCAAAGAAGATCTTTACAAAACTTTGGTCAAGTAAAGGAGAAAAGAGTGAAAACAGTGGCTCGGATTCATCGGATAGTCTTGGTTCTGCTAACCCAGAAGAAGCTAAGTCTACACCCTCCAGAAATAGAAGGCATTCTGTTTCTTAGTAGTAATAACTTGCATAGAGTAGTTTTTCTGTCTGATTTTTTGGGTTCTTTTAAAGTTTAAATCAATGGTATTAACTCAGAAAAGTGTAGTGTTATTCTAATTGAGCAAGATGAAGCATATATAGTTTTGAAGAAGAATTTTATATATATTACAGATATCTAATGTGAGAGTAGTTACAGTTGCAGTGACCAAAGTCCAGAAAAAGCCACAAAATAAATTAAGTCTTTGTTAAATTCTTAAGCTGAAGCAAGAAAGTTGTCTAAACTCTAGAGAGCCCGACAAGAAATCTTGTTATGTTCTTTTAACTACTTGATATATGATATATTAGACTCATTTGTTAGTTAGGGCATTTCGGTCTCAAACTCAAGACTTTTCACCTTTTAGATAAGTAAGAAGATCACTTATACTATCACCTGATCGACGATGATATCAAGAATTAATTGCTGAATAATTAAGAAATAGTATATAGTGTCATTTTATGTAAGTTAATTTTAAAAGAGAACTTTTCTATTTAGATAAAATTGTAAATTCAAATAAATACAACCGAGTTTATTCATTATTATGTGATTAAATAAGTTGAAGGTTCAATAAATTGTAAATAAGATAAAACAAACAGCCCCTAAATATATAAACTGGGGAATTATTAAATCAATCAAAAGAGCTTATTTCATTCAGTTTAGTTTAGTTAGTGTGCAAGCTAATGGCCGATAGCAATTGTTGATAGCTGTTAGGGATATAAATATTTTCATAAATTATCATATATCATACACATATATAATTTTAGTAGTTATTATTTTTTATAAAGTTCATATATAACATAACTACGAATCAATTAATAGTTGATTTGACTTGATTCAGTTTAAATTTTCACAATTAGAAATAATTAAATATTTTTTTAAAAAAATTTGAACCAGCTTTTGCAAAAAATTGAATCAAACTACAAAACTAACCAAAAAATTAAATTAAACAAAATTTTTTAAGCATATAATAATTTAGTTAGGTTATATTTTTATAAATGTTTCCATAATATAACATAACTCGGAATCAATTAATATTTATTTACTTTGATTCCATGTTAAATTTTCAACAAATAGAAATAATTAAATATTTTTTTAAAAAATTTGAACCAGCTTTTTGCGAAAAAATGTGGAATCAAAACTACAAAATCTACCAAAAAAAGTTAAATTAAACAAAATTTTTTTTAAATAATTATAGTATATTATATATATTAAAAAAAAATATTGTTTTGTTATACATTAATACAATATATATTAAAAAAATATTGTTATACATTAATACATAAATATAAAATATGGTTTGGTTTGATTATTTTTATCCTTCTTTTTTGGTAAACCATCCGGTATCCGGTACAGTCAACTAATCTAGATTCGGGTTCTGCAGAGATCTATTATAGGGTATTTACAACGCCAGAGTTCAAACTGCGTCTACTCCCACTGAACCAACCGGTAATTGGTTATTTTTATCCCTTTTTGTTATCACTCAAACTGAATCAAAATAATTAAAATTTATAAAAAATTTAAAATCGAATCAAATTATTAAAAATAAAATCTAACTAACTAACATTAAATTAGTTTGATCGGATTTTCAATTAACCAAACCATTTGCTCCTCCCCTAGAAGCCTTCAATGGAAAAGGAAAGATTTCAATGGGACAATTCATTTTTAATTATAGAAAAATACTTATCTACACTGTTTATATATTTATTGCTCATATACTCTACCAATAGATTATTTTTATTTAAAAAATTATTACTCTTCACCTCTGTTTTATCTTTTTTTTTTTTAATGAAAATTCATATTCTTATTTGCACAAATTTCATTATTGAGTTTACTGAAATATACACCTGGTGTAAATCATCCCTTGCAATCATACAAATGAGAACAATTTGGCTTTTTCCATTAATTTATTACAATGACTTTGTAACTAAACAATTTAATTTTTTTCTTTTTTCAGCATGGGAAGGGGATTCGAACCTGAATTTATTATCAGGTTTTATATGGCCTTACTATTAGGCTATGCCTTATTGTGCATTAAGCGATTTAAATTTAATGAGAGCATCAATTAGGTGATTTAAATGTCATATATTATTCCAATTGAGATATTATTTTTAGACGGTATCATTGGGCTTTTCATGTTTTGTAGAAGATGTGAGAAATAGAAAGTCTCGAGTTCGAGTGTTCTCCACCGTAGAAGTTATCACTAACTTGGTAAATGTTATTTAAAATTAAAAGGGAGATTTCTCATGTCTATATATATATATGAGATATATTTTTTAGCAGCGAAATTAATGTATTTTATTATAATAAAACATATTAGAAAAAATTTAACTAATCTAAATAATTTAACCCGAGCCAACGGACTCTCGAAAATTTATCTTCTTCACCTTTATTCATATCTCTTTTCTTATCTCTTTCTTTTCATCAATCTAACCTACTTCATTTCTTCTTTCCCTTTTTTTTTTTTTTTTAATTCCCTTTTTTTTTTTTTTTAAATTATCTATTCTTAAGGGTTAACCCTTTTTTTTTTTTTTTTAAATTATCTATTTCTTAAGTTAAATTTTCAGCTAAACCCACGCCAGATTTGGTTTAAGTCACCTAGATAATACCTTCATAAAATTTAAATTCTTTTAATAGTATTTTTAATTGAAATTCAAAATCACAAACCCTATTCTAAAAATAATTTGAAATAATGTAATTCATGTCATTTTAAATTTATTATTACAAGAATTAAACTTAATTAAATTACGTTTTTAGTCAAATTATACAAATATTATTATACTGCTTTAAATTCTAATTGGAGGCAATAATAATGGGCCAATTAGGGACTATAACCTAACTGGTCCAATCTGTAATGATTGGGCCAATCAGTCATATTGAATCCACTCCTCCTACGGGAGGTTATAAGAGGAGATTAGAGTGCGAAGTAGAGATTAACATATTAGTCATTTATGAGTTTTTTTTTTTTTGCCCTTTTCAATAAAATAAAATGGATTTATTAAAAATGGTGATCCAGTGTACGAAACATCGTGCATTTATGAACTGTAAAAACAATCGATGGATTGATATACACATCCTTTCTTTGTTTATAAAAAAAACGGTTTCTACGTCTGAAATCTGAGATATAAAAATAACTCACCCTCATTTTTTTTATTGACAAAAGCTAAAAATTTATATTCTTTAACTTCTAAATGTTTGCTTCTTCTTGCTCTCTAAATTTGGATGTGTAAAATGTAAAGATTTTAATTGATTTTACAATTTACTTCCTTTAAAACTCTCTAACATTATAAGATTAATTAATTTTCATTCTAAACTTTCTAATTAATTTTCTTCACCCCGTTACCGTTATATAATCTTCAATAAAACTCCTATGCAATGTGTTAAATCTCACTATTAAGTATTGATAGTAATGAAATTTGTAAACAAGAATTGTATTTTATTAAGAGAATTTGAAAGATTGTAATGTCCTTTTTTCTTTGAAGATTGGAGGAAGATGATTTGAACCTGGATCTATTGTCATGTCGTATATGCACTTATCACTAGTCTATATTTTAGTGTCCTTGTAATGTCCTTCTTCGAGTTTAGATACAAGTAATTATAACATTTCTGACTATTTTTGGTAAAAGACAAAGAATTAAATGACGAGCGAGAATCTCGAACTTTAATTATCTAATAAATAAATATTTGACCGGGTGTTATTTATTTGAAAATGGTAAAATAATGGTCGGTCAATTCTCAATATTACTACTATCAATTATCATTTCTATTTCATTACCCGTCAATAATAAACAGAGTCAAAATTTAATGTCAGCGAGTGTGAAGGACCAAAATGTTGATAATAGAATTATAACTTAGGAACCCTATAGTTAGTCTTTTGAAAATAAAGGTTTTCATATATTAATTTCACTATAATTTAAAGATTAATATTCATTTTTCTCTGTACATGTATAGTTAGTATCAAGATCTGGTTATGGTGTGGACCTAAAACCTACTCATTAATAATATATATATATTATAGGTTAGTATCAAGGATCTGGTGTTATGTTGTGGATCCTAAAACCTACCATTAATAATATATATATATTATAATATAATATATTCCATTAAATTATTACATTCTCCCCTTAATATTATATAACACACCCAAAACAAATTCATTATCAAAACATTTGTACATGCCAATTTGTCTTTGGGTAGGATAGAATATTCTAAATTTAAAACGGTAATTAAGGTAAACATTAGGTGGACTAATAAATTAGGTTTAATTGGATAAAGAAACTTGGTAAATTTGAATCTTTTATCAAATCAGGCTAGTTTTAATTTTATTCAAATCAATACCGTTGCTTACTTATTTTTATATCAAATTTAGTGCCTCCGTTTGGTCTTTCTTGGTTCAAATTCCAGTTGCAAGTTGGAAGGTTTATCTCTCACAAGGTGTGTATGTCCTATAACACCAATTGTCAGCGTGTCAGGTCATATATGCCACACGGTATTAATATATATATTATATATTAATTATATATATTATATATATATATAAAATTTCAAACAATTGCAAACAACCAAAAACAAACTAAATTAGGGACATCTAAATCACTTATTATTATATGTCCTAATTTGGGGTATTAATTAAATTTTAAATATATAAAATTTCAACATGCAAACACCAAAACAAACGAAAATGAGACATCTAAATCACTTATTATTATATGTCCTAATGTGGTTATTAAGATGAATTTAAGGTCACCTAATTGTGCTGCGGCAAAAACTTAAGTACAAATATATTAATTATCTAATTACTCAAAGGTTACTAAGACAATTTTTCTATTAAAATAATATTTCTGTTACGTTCATCATGGCTGTGAGAAATCGAAAGTTTGTAGTTTTTCATGTAATCTACGTTTATTACAAAGAAAAACACAGATTCAAGTTTGTTGTGATCTTATTTGCAGCGTTTATTGCAAAGAGAGAGAGGTATGGATTTTTAAGTCAGCTAGAGTCTAAAAGAATCGAGCTGGATTGGATATTCCTGAATTTAAGCTCGGTTTATTTACAATTTTTTATTTTTTATTTTTTCATTTTTTAACTTGATTTCGAACTTGAGCTTGGCTTATTTATTAAATAAATTTGATAAACAAATTCCAATCTATTTTATTAAACTTATCGAATAAGTTTGAATGGTGGAGCTCAAAGAAGATAATGTTTTTGTTTTTAATGTAACGATAGAAATTGTTTGTTATTATTAAGGTGATGAAGTGGATAACGTTAACCCAAACCAGTTTCCAAAATTCATTTGCCTTTCCAAGTGATGGAAAAGACGCATAGAGAGAGAGAGAGAACTGTGTCGTTTCTTTGCATATTGAAAAAGGCCAAAACAAAAACCAAAATAAAAATAAAAAGTTCTCTTCCACAGCTTCGGTCCCCTCCTCCCTTTCTCTTTTTTATCCATAATGAAATGCACGTAAATCATTGTGCATGTTATAATATTTATTTATTTACACTGTAAATTTTATTATAGCTATGTTTTTTATTACCCTAAAAATCTTGTCTTTTCAAAGGATTGCATTGCTTAATATATAAAATTTCAGAATCTATCTATTTAAATAATTTAACATTTATCAATCAGGTCTGTGATTTGATCAGAAATGTGAACAGTGGAAGATTTCGAGTTCGAGTCTTTTTGATCACTATTATTTTTACTCCTTTGGTGAGTCAACTCATATTGTATAGACTGTAGTATCATTTCGGCTTATAAAAGCCTTAAATGAATTAAAAAAAAAATTTAATATTTAGAAACATCTTAATTTTACAAACAATATACTAAAAATATAAATAATTCTGATTGTTATTTTGATAGAGTTGTATTTAAACATAATTATTCTAGTAAATAGGAAAAGAATTCCTTCCCGTACTAAATTAATGAATTAACTATTTCATCTTAACTCTTAGTCTCTTACAATATATATTCCTTTTCCTTTTTTCATTTTTAATGGCTCTTTGTGCATATCTGTATATATATGTACTGTTCAATTAGATAAAGATGCCACGTACATACCTATCTAAGTATCGACTGTAACTTCTATGTCTAGTCCTTATCTACATCTAGGGTGTCCTCGGTGTTGGAACCGCCGATTTCGATTCTGAATCAAAATCGAATCGAAAATTAACAGTTTCAATTACAGTTTAGAATCAAATGGTTACAGTTCCGATTTTGATTCCGATTTCTTAATGATTTCAAATTAATGGTTTCAGTCGATTGTTCGATTGATTTTTTGGTATTATAAAATCAAAAGTTATGGAGCATTTTTTTTTTAAATTTAAAATTTAATATTTAAGAAATAATTTTTAGAAAAAACCTAACGAGGAAATTAACAAAGAAGGCTTAACTTAATTTATTTATTAAAAAAAAGGTTTGAACTTTTTTTTTTTTTTTGGGAAAAAGCTATTGAACTTAATTTATTTATTTTTAAATACAAAAATGTATTTATTATAAATCCAAAAAATTAATTTTTCACGAATAATCTTAATACTAGTTGTTATATAGTTGTTAGAATGGTTAATTTAGAAATTTCACAAAAATATTTGAAAAAAATAAAAAAAGTTATTGAAATCGGGTGGAACCACCGGTTCTAACCGGTTGGAAAAGCTGCCAGTTCACAGTTCCTCAAAAGTTGGAACCGAAATCAAACCGTAGACTCCCAATTTCAGTTCAGACCGATTCTGGTTTCTCACGATTTCGATTTCGATTCTCACCGGTTTTGCACCAACGGTTCCGGTTCTAAAAATAGGAAAAAATGGCCACCCCCGCATCTTCCTCATCCTCTCATTTCTTCACCTTGCAAATTATTTATTTAAAATTGATTAGATAAAATAATTTTAACTCTCTCTCTCCCCCTTCTCCGAAGATCTAAAACTTCTATTTTCTTCTTCTGTGGGCGGCTATAGGCAACCTCTCGTTGGTGGTCACCCAATTTCCTCTTTTTTTTTTTTTTTTTTTTTTAATGTCACCCCCTTTCCTCCGGTTGAAGATCTTAAAACTTCTATTCTTCTTCTGTGGCTTGCTATATTGTCAACTCTCGGTTTTTTTTGTCACCCAATTCCCTCTTTTTTTTTTTTTTTTTTTTTTTAAACTAATTCTCAGGATCTTGTGTGTGTCTCAATATTTTTTTTTTTTTTTTTTTTTTTAAACAATTCTCAGATCTGTGTGTAGCTCAAATATTGAGATTTATTGTTGCCTATATTTTGGGATTTTAATCTTAAATTTAGTTCTGAATTATTATTGTCATTATTATGGTGATTTTGTCTAGAATATTTTGTTATTTGGATATTTATACAGAAAAAAGTGCAGATTTCCTCTCTAATAGAAAAAAGAAATTTGAAGGTAATAAGATCGGACTTGTAGAAAGATAATGCAGTCGAACAGTGACCATGAATAGCCACCAAGTGGAGCAAGCGATCGCTGATTGCACAAATATTATGTTATGTCAACTTGATCAGATACTTCAAATCAAGATTGTGTTTTTTTTTCTCTGTATAAGTGGTTTATTATTAAGCTTCATATATAAAAATATAGATCTATATCTCATATCTGTATACAGATTCCTCTTAATAAAATTTTAATTAATTTTTTTTTTCTAAAAAAATGATTAGATATATATGATAAGCAATTTTTCTTTGATTTTCAGCATTACTCCAAAGCCAGTCGTGCCAAACCTAAATTTAAAACTCTAACCTTATAAATAATTTATTTAAAATGTAATTTAATCAGCCTCCAAGAAAAATGTCTCTATAACTCCCTTGATGGTACCATAAATATATTAATAGTTGGGCCGAAATATAGAAAATAAGTATTATACCATATACGAAAAGGAAACCAAGTTTATCTCATCAAAATAATGGTATGACAAATATTTGTATATTTCTTTTCCTTTTTATGTATTAAAAAGATTGGAGAACAGAAAAGTTATATGCCAAAAATATGAGGGCAAGTGAATTGTATTTGATAAACAAGATAACTATTAACTATTTAAAATTATGAATAAAGCTCAATTTGCCTTCTGCACTTAGGCACAATATACAATTTATCTAAAAATTAAAATTTTTTTATAAACTACCCCTTAGTTTTGTACCAAAAGTACAAATTGTCCAATTTTTATCCAAAAATAAATTATTTGATATAAATCAAATATGATTTAAAAAGTAATTAAATATTTAATCTAATTAAATATAATTAAAAATTAATCAAACTAAAAATAATAAATATTTTTCTAACCAAATATTTTTCTAATTCTATAATTTAATACAAATTATTTGTTAAATTATTTTTAAATCAAATACGGTAAATTTTTCTAATTATTATTATATTTTAAAATAATTTTTTATTTTTTTTTTAAATTTTTAAGTAAAAAGTTTTTTAAAAAAATTGGACATCTTGTTCTTTTGGTGCAAGTTTAATTTCACTCTTTTTATAATTGAAATTAATGGTTTTGAATTAAAATTGACAGTTATTGAACAATGATCATGCCTACTCAAACTAGCAATTGTAATTAGAATTCCTCTAAATGAATATTTAATTGCTAATTTAACTATATCTCCATCCATTTTTGTAATTTCAAATAGGCTAATTAAACATCGGACTAAAAATTCTTTTCTCCATAAGAAAAAGACTAAATAAATGAATATAAGAAAAAAGGCTCTTATAAAAGCTTTTACACTATTTAACCATAAAAATAGTTAAAAGGTTAGCTTTTCGATATGAACAAAACAACTTAGTCCATTAGTGTCATTACAACATATGCATGTACTAATAAATTTAATAAAAATACTTGTTATAAATAAGAACTTGAGTTTTTTTTTTTTTTTTTTTCAAAGAAAAAATTTTTTTGTCAAAGAAAAAAAAATAAAAAGTAATAATTCTATTCAAGGTTTTTATTTTTTGGTGTATGCTTCTGGGTTCGGTTTCAAGTATTTTTTCGTAAATAGAAATCTACTCAAATCAAAAACTCAAAATAAAAAAGAATCCAACGGTCGGTTATAAGGACCCTAATCCCCAGTCGCGAACACGGAGCCGGCTCCACCTGACTACTGGGAACTCCAAACTCCACCACATGGTTCAAACTAAACTCAAACTGTAGTTCACCTCAACCAATAAACCCTTTCTATCACAATTATTAATTGAGCCACTTTCAAGGTCAATCCTCCGTTCTCACATTTTTTTTTTTTTTTTTTTTTTGTCAAAGAAAAAAAAATAAAAAGTAATAATTTCTATTCAAGGTTTTTATTTTTTGGGTATGCTCTGGTTCGGTTCAAGTATTTTTCGTAAATAGAATCTACTCAATCAAAACTCAAAATAAAAAAGAATCCAACGGGGTATAAGACCCTAATCCCCAGTTCGCGGAAACACGGAGCCGCTCCCACCTACTACTTTGGAACTCCAACTCCACCACATGGTTAAAACTAAACTCAACTGTAGTTCACTCTAACCTAATAACCTTTCTTCAATTATTAATTAGCCACTTCAAGGTCAGATTCCGTCTCTACATTTTATTTATTCTATATAAATGTTCTCTATGTAGCTTTGCTTTCTTGCTTGCTTGCATTGGTGGTGTTCTTTTTTCTTTCTTCTGATCAAAGAAAGCAAACCCATATCGGAATTTGATGTGCCGGTGCCGGAAAAGCTTATAATATTGCAGAATGAGCTGTAATGGGTGTAGAATTCTTCGTAAAGGGTGCAGCGAGGATTGCATTCTCCGACAATCCTTGCAATCGATAGATAATCCTCAATCACAAGCTAATGCCACTGTCTTCGTCGCTAAATTCTTTGGCCGTGCCGGCCTCATGTCCTTCATTTCCTCCGTTCCTCAAAACCAGCGTCCTTGTATGTTCCTGCAAAATCTCTATACCTATTTACACTCTGTTTGGCTTGGCTATAAGTTTTTCTAATTGGAATTTTGTGTTTTTAATTTCAGCATTGTTTCAGTCTCTTCTCTTTGAGGCGGTGGGTAGAACTGTAAATCCAGTAAGTGGAGCTGTCGGGCTTCTCTGGACTGGAAACTGGCACATATGCCAGGCTGCGGTGATGACGGTGCTACGCGGCGGCACGATAGAACCTGTATTAGAATTTGAAGGCGGAATATTAGCACCGGACTACGGTAACTTGTCAGAATGTGCTAGTTTTAGTCCAAAAGCAAATGTGGATTCAGTTTCAAAGGCAACAGCAACATTAAAGAGGACAAGATCTGATTTTGATAAAGAAGAGGCTAAATGTGGGCTAACTAGTAATCTTGATCTTTGCTTGATGTACTCGGAAGAGAAGCCGCGGGCGGTGTCGTCGTCGGAGGAGTCTGAAACGACAACGTTGGGAAGTTCGGGAACTTATTGTAGGAGTAGTTTACAAGGAGGTGAAAGAAAGCTCTTGACATTGTTTATTTGAGCTGTTTTTTTTTATTATTATTATTTGTTTTATTTTTGTTTTTCTATAGAATTGCTGTTCTCACTTTATTGTATACTAAAAAATGTAACTCGATTTGAGATTATTGGAAGAAATTTAATCTAATTTCTTATTTAGATACTTTTTATTATATGTTTTTATATATTTATTTTTATATTAAAATGTTTATTTTAGTATTGAGGGATAAAATTTAAAATTAGATCTTTTATCAGATTATATATGCATCTACTACTGGCCTATGCTTTAGTGTATAAAAATATATATATTTTAATATGAATGGAAAATTTTATTTTGTGTCTTCTTTTTTACATGGAAGATTTTTAAAATTATGATAAATTATTACTTGATAATTTGGCTATTAATCAACATTATAAATTATTAGTCAATTTTTAGGCTCTATCAATTTTTTTTAGAATTTTTTTTTATTATGAATGTGTCTCTAAAAAACATAAATAGTTTATTTTATGAAAGATTGTAGGTAAAGGTTCAACAAAATAACTTTCCAAGAATCAAATTTTTATTCTCATTTTCGTACGACTGAAATCGTTAATCACCTCAACCAACACTTTATTGGTGTACTGATAGTTTTTTTATATATTATATTTGATCTCAAAATATTAATTATAATAGATTGAAGTATATAATTTTATTCCCGGAGAAAAATAACTAACCAAAAATCAGTATATAAAATAAAAAAGCATTTTCAATGCATTAGACAAATTAAAATGAGCATTTCATTTCATGAAGAAATCCAAGAAAATGGGATAATTGAGAATGGCTTTTGCTACCCTAAAGAGGCATTTACTACTTTATAGTTATGCAATATTTTTTTTTATCCCATGTTGAGTGGTGGGTGTGTCAGCATTAGATTTCGGTTTGTCTCTCCCAATCTCTTATTAGTTATGTGCTTAATCTTTATTTTCTGCCCCTTTTACATTACCAAAAGCCGTGAGGAGGCTTTGCTTATATCCTTAATTTTGTTGTCTATCTATGTTTATTATGATATATAAGAATGGATGATGAATGATAATTGAGGTGTTTAAGGAGATTTAAATTAAATTAATTTAATAATTAGTTTGGCTTAGAATCCAATTGAAATCGAATCGAAAATTGTCAATTCTAATTCTTGAAAAAACTAAAACTAATTCCAAACTATAACTAAACCGCTTTAGTTACAACTTCAAGATTTGGGTTTAATTTTAATTTTTAAAAATTAAAACGTAAGTCGATTTTTAATTACGATGTAGAATCGAAACTTAGTCAAGCTTATTATCAGTGTTATAATTTATTGATCGAATAATTTTCTCATAGTATAAAATATTAAAAATCCAAAAATCATCAGCTTCTTCCTTTTAAAATTTTATGATATATTAAAATAAATAAATAGAACCACACAAAGAAAAACACATATTTGTATGCATGAAATTTGACCCCTTAAATAAAAATTAAAAAAAAAAAACTAAAAAAATTAAGTGCATTTAGAAAAAAAATTTTAGGGCTAGGGTCAGAACTTTAAGTCACCAAAATTGTCTCCATTATGTAACTTATTTGAATATTGACGTGTCAAAAAAATAAAAAATAAAAATCATATCCAAAATTATAATTTAAATTTTCTAATTTGTTGTCTTTATTCAATAGATTAATATAAAGAAATAAAAACTTTTTCGAAACGAGATTAATTTGATATCTAAATAAACTTCGTTGTAAACTCATCCTATGATCCTAAGGCTAACTGTGTTCTTGTAATGTCCACTTCCCCGAAAAACGTGGAGAAAAATAAAAGAACATGTTTGCTTATAAGGTACCTCTTTAACCATAAAGCCTCTTTGGAACTTTTTAAGCTATTGTCCGTAAGCTTAAGCATGCATGCATCCTTTACCAATATATCCTAATTACTACTGCTAATTACTATTCCACCCCCCGACATTCAAGTTTCTGTCGGTAGCATGTTTTGTCAAATCAAACTATTTACCCATGAGGACCACCTCAAGCTTTAAGACACGATTCAGTTCAATGAAAAACTTTTATAAGATTAGAAGATTCCATCAATGAAAAAATATATTAGAGAAAAGACAATTATGAACATTAAAATCAGATTAATTTCATATGCAAATGAATATGAATATGGGAAATAATTATTTCATTAATGTTCTTATTTCTTGATTACTTCAATTCTGCGAATCAAATCGTGATTTTGCTGTACTTAAAAGCACGTTTTAAAGAAGCAGAAACAAAAACAAGCACATTTTGTTTGAGGTGAAATTAAGACGACAAAAGATCATAAAAGAAATCGAATTATTACATCTTAAAAATTACGATATATTTTGGATTCTTTGCACCGGCAGCGCATGTTAGTGGTGGGCTCTGGCTGACTGGCTCCGCCACCATTGTAAACTCCCTCACATTTCGTTTTAAAAGTAAATTATTATTTTACCAATTTAATAAATTAGTTGAAATTGTAATTTATACAAGAATAATAATATTTTCTATTTCTCAAAATAAAACAAAATTGATTTTTTATTTCTTCCTTTTCAATTTTTTCCTCTACCAATATTTCTCTCCCTCTCTCCATTATACACAGTTCCTCTACTCTGCATCGGAATCCAACTGAATGTTGCCTGTTCGAAAGATCCAAAAATGATTTCTGTGAAGAATTCTATCTGTTTTTCATTTTCCATAGAGATGAAAATTTTCAAAATGGAAAAAAACAATTAGAGAAAAAAATGGAGATTTTGGAACGTCTAGTTCATATTTCTTGTGTTTTCTTCTCAGATCTTGATATAGTTATGTTTTCTTCGAGTAAATATGAAATTTAGTAATGTTGATCTCCATGTTTTTATATGGAGATTCTCCATCCGTTAACTGGATTAAAGGTTGGAGTTGCATTTGAATTCTAATTTTAAACTCATTTTAGTGTTTACATGTTTCTCCTTCCAAGTCTTAATTTTTTATTGTTTCGTACTAAACGCAAAATCTCTTAAACCTATGGATAAAAGTGTAAACAAGCCGAGCTCAAAGTTCAACTTGACAGTCGAGTTCACTCAAAAATTTTAAAGCTCGAGCCTGACTCAAGTCTCGATCTTTGAATAAGTTTAAAATATATATTATATAGATGTATATACAAAAATTCGATAGGGCTTAATGAGTTTTCGAACTAAATATCATTAGACTTAAACTTTACTCATTTGCTAACAACCGGCTTGAACCCAATTTGAACCAAACTTTTTCAAATTTTTATTGAGCCAAATTTGAACAGCCCGCGAGCCTACTCAACTCATTTAGGGTAGCTCAACTCCTACTCGACTCATTTAGGGGTAGCTCAACTCATTTACACCCCAAGTAAGGGCAATAAGAACTTAAGAGGACCCCATGCAAGGTATATTAATATTCTCTCTTACTTTTGGTTGTCATAATAATTGGCCAAATCACTCATTGCCCATGTTAGACACAGCCAAGCTTTTTATTATTTCTTTCACAATTAGATTGTTGGGTTGGATAGAAAAATAATACTAATAATAATAATAATAACAACAATCCTTTATTTAATATAAATGAATTTAAAATATATAAAAAAAAAATCATTTATAGATGATAGAGACACATCAACCAAATGAACGCATCCATTCATACACAAGCTATGAATGCTTATACACAACAATGTTAAGAAAGCTTACTTCTGTTTCTGTTTCTGTTTCGTGTACTCATTTGACACTAAAGCTTAGTTAAATGTACTTGGAAACAATGGCACTAAAGCTTGTCACAACCAACCAACCAAGCAAGCCAAGAGCATGTTCAGAATGTAAAAATAATCAAGTGAGGCAAGAAACTAAATAATGATCAGTGATCATATGAGCCGTGAACGTTACATATATATATATATACATATACATTACTTTCCTTTGGCCTCAAAAGCCGGTAGAATTTGTACCTTGTATACAGCTGATTAGTAGGAAGAAAATCCTTTCTGTCATCTTCGGATACAAAAGATATATGTAACACATGACAATGCAAAGACCACAACTGGTTCAAAAAATGCCAGAAGGTGAAGAAGCCAAAACTAGCTATTTCAATGAATGTTTATTACCTCCACTGCACCTCCACCCTATGGGAAAAAGAAGAGATTTGGTGAGATGTTAGCATTTAGAGTGAGTGGTCAAGTGAGATCAGTTCTACACACGTGTTGTCAGGTTGCTGGTAGTCGGTAAACGATTTAGTTGTATTATGTGCGTTCTCATACTACAGTCCTTAACCTGTAAATAGGCGATTATAAGTTTTACCAGTACAAGAGGAAAATAAAAATTGCCAATGATAGAAAAGGAATCCAGTTTTACCTGCATGCCTGCTAATGCGGACAAGAAATCTTTACATTGTTCAAGCAAAAATTTTTCTTTCGCAGTCACATTCACAAGTTCAGCCATCAAAGAATTGATTTCCTCCACCTGTGGATGATAAATAGTTTTAGATATTCAAAATAAGCTTTTATAATCCAGAAGAAAGATCATATGATTTAAAACCAATCCGTTTGAAGCAAGATCATATGATCTAAGTATGGTTTTGTGCAATTTGGCAAGGTCAAATAGTTGACAAATTAGCTTATCTCTAGGCAATAAGGACAATAATACAAGAACCTTCTAAAATGGACCGTAGAACTAGATGTCCCAACAGTCAGTCTCTAGGCAACAAACAAATATAAAAGATATGAAAATTCGATGCTTAATTCCACAAGATTAGATTTTCGGTGTATTAGCATGTTTATACTCGATTAAATTATGAAGTCTTTCAGATTTGAACTGTTTTAGCCAATCAAATAAGGTTAATTGGGAAAGATTGGAGATAAATCCAAGCAACTCATGAATGGATGTCAAAACTGGATGAGTTTTCATAACATCCTCAGGGTTTTCAAATCTGAGATATGGGTTAACGAGGAAGAGAATTGATCACCAGCATGAGTGAATCCTTGAAAGTAGAGATGGTCAACTTGGTCAAAGTTACCAGCTAACATCAAGAGGTTTTAACTTCACCATTGACTGCAGATATGCTGCTAAAATAACGATAATATATACTTTCGTATTCAACCAATGTAACTCTGACATGCAAAAGATATTTTTCTTTCTTTTTTCTCCCTTGTCTTTGTATATCAATTCTCTTCCCCCTCCCCTGCCTTTTTCCATCTCTCTTAACTTTCAGGCCCACACATCAAAAAGATCACCCACATTCCAACTTTCACTATGCCATCCAAAACATAGCCAAAGAAGTAAAGGAAACTTTTATAGAAACAATGAAAGAATTGAAATTATAACCACTTCATATAACATATATTGAGATTATATGCACTTCATATTGTTGTTGCTCCTCAGAGAAATTTTACATCTAGAGAAATTGCACAAAAAACTTGGAAATACCCTAAAATTTTTAGTTTTCAATTGGATCATAAAGATTTCATTCACATTTTTAAGGTGGAAATGGAGATGGGATAGTTTTTCTCAGCCCAGCGTTCTTTTCTCGAGGAAGTAAGTATATGGATGGTCCTTGCAGTGTAAAATGGTGAGTTAAAGCTTTGCTGTAGGCCCAAAGTTAAAACTTAAAACTTGTAGCAGTGATTGACACTTGAAAATTTTATTATTTGCAAAGTTTTCTCATTATAACAGAGTGAAAAGGATATTATGCAGACAAGCTATGGCCATTGACTTCAGCCAAAAAGTGCATACAAATATCAAATAAAACCCCCCCTCTCTGAACTGTTGGAAATTTTACCAACCACACTACTACTCCTACATATTCCCTTACCAGCAGACAATATTGATGGCCCTTTCAATGTTTTATTTGCTTGTATTGACTAAATTAGAAGTTTTTAATGAAGTCTTAATACTTTTTAAAGATTAAACTGTTAGTCCCAAGTTGTCAAGTGATAAAGATCTTAGCAAACTAATGCTATGTGAAAACACAACTGTAATCAGTTAAAGGAATCATTTTTAGGGGGGGGGAACACCTCAAGAAAAAAAGACAAATTTTCATTTTTTTTTTTTTTTTTGTTTGACCAAATATAATTTTAGAGTGAGAGAGAGAGAGAGAATCACCCATAAGGAACCATCCTTCTCAAAAAGCAAAATCGTCCTTTGATTTTTTTTCCCCTTCCTTTCATCCACATGTTTGTTTCAATTATTTGTTTACTTATTTATTTAATCAATCCATCCTATTTATTATTGCCACTATATGCACTGACTGAAAGAAATCCAATTTGGTATCCACATGGAATTAGTTAACAGAAGTTCATACTAATAACCATTTAGGATTAGTTGTTTGAGTTTTAAAAAGCATTAGTAATTAATTGCACTGTTAGAGATGGCAAACAGGTTGGGCCCTGTAGGGTGGACATGGGTCAGTTACTTCAAGTTTCAATCCTGTTGGGTCATGTCTTATGCTGTGAATAATTCCATTTTTTTTATGTTTGTTGCTGATACACAAAATCATTGATAAATGGGTACTTGGTTCAGTTCATGGCATTCTCAATAATTATAATTGAGTTTGCAAGGATTAGCTACCTTTGATGATAGCAAGCATACAGAGGAAGCCATTGCTTGCATCACATCAACCGCTGAACTAACGGCATCCTTCAGATTCTGAACATCAGCCTGTAATTTAAGAGAATTGAATTGTCAACTTCCATTTATTAAGCTTTAAGCTTTCAAAATGCAAGCAACTACCTAACAAGATAAGAAATAAGAGCACATACTATTGCTTTTCCAACAATTGGAAGACGAAGAGTACTGGCTTTCAAAGCTTCAGTTGCTCCTTCCAAAGAGGTCAAGTGATCTCTATCCAGAAAAGACCATTCCTCTAAATATGCAATCTACGTCACCAAATGCAGCATGCTTCAGTCATTAAAAGAAGAAGAAGAAAGAGAGAAAGATAGAGCCACAAAACCAGCATAAAAGAAATATAAACAAACATCTGGTTGTGTATAACTGCAGCAAATAACATCTAAATTATCATGATCAACAGTGCAACACAATCAACATGATTATTCCAAAATAAAACTAGTAAGTACCATTTGGACATGGCATTAAAGATCCATTCATATGGAAAAAACAGAATGAACTTTTATTACAAACTATTTGAGAAATGATTGAGAAACCCAAGCCCATAGCTCTACAAGCATCTACAATTTCACTGCAAAACAGGAAAACTACTTCTACAGCAAACCCCTACTGGCTAGAGATAAGACTTCCACCCATCAAAAACAATTTTTGAGCACTACAAGGCATTTGAAGGCACAAATGGAAAGTGCCAGCAAACAAAACAATCAACATGTATGTCGCTGGAAATTTATGAATATAATAACCTTCAAAGAGAAAAAAAGAACCAAGACTAAAATTTGCAAGTAAATTCAACATATGTGAGGGAAATTAACCACTCTAAGGGCTTTCTAAAGTCAAAGTTTAACAGGAAGAAATTCTTACAGCCATGAACTTTCCAGACTAAATTGATTTTTATGGTTTCAGCTAGGGGTGAGCATTTGGTTCGGTCAATTCGATTAGTTTGGCCAATTCAGCTGATTCGATTCAGTGAATATATGTTCGGTTAAAGAAAATTACAATTTTTGGGGTTCGGTTAAAAGATAATTTAATTGAATTAATCAAATTAACCAACTCCCAAAATTATGTCGTTTGATTAAGTAGATAATAAAATTAAAAATTAAAAATATTTTAATTTTTATTTTGATTAAGTAGTGACTAATAATTTTGATTAATTTTTATTTCGGTTAATCACAAATTTCGGTTAAATTCGGTTGGTTAATTAAGTTTTCTTTGTTCTTTTTTTTAACGTTGCTGCGGTTAATGATCATAATTAATTCGGACAAAACGATTCAGTTAAATTCGCTTACCAAATTAGTTCGGTTAAATAAAAAAAATATCAGTTAATTTATTTCAGTTAAAAATATTACTCAAATTGGCCAAATGCTTGCCCCTAGTTTCAGCTTAAAATTTCAGTAGTTGCAAGAACTGGAACTTGATCTAAAAAGCGAACATTAACTTATGTTAAACTTAGTGAAACACTCACCACCATTACAGTGTTGCACTCCTCTCCAACATTTTGTCTACAAAATGTAGCTTCCACATTTGAAAATGGATAAATTGTTTACAAAGGTATCTGGTGAATTTCTGTCATCTTGACAGTTTCCATTTTTTTATCTAACCATGTAAAAGTTAAGATTCACTCCATTACTTGTAAAAAAAGCGAACTGGTGAGAGCAGCGAATGTAAGAAGTGTGTTGTAATTGTTGCAAAGATCTAATCAGGAAAAAATCACAGGTTTCCTTCTAGGGATCAATGTCTAAAACTATTCTTTTTTGGGAAATATCTTCAACAATGACACGTATTGTGTGTGTCTAAACTATAAGAAAATCAGTAATTCTAGCTGCCAAATTTCCATTTATCAAGGATGACAACAAGAATTCAGCAAACAGGAAACAGTAGAGTTCAGGAAAACAAACTTCCTAAATTCAAATGCTAGCATGGTATTGTGATCACCTCATATTATCAAGCACTTTGATGCAAGCAAATAAAGCATATGTTCAGACAGAAAATGAAGACTGGCTGACAGTTGCAAGTCATGAATGTGACATTCTATATGGTAAAGCACGAATATGCATATGGATACAAGAGTCTGAATACCATAATCAAGCATCTTCTCCATGGCAGCATAGACAACTATCAGTTCCAGGTATGCAAAACCAAGGCCTTGGTTACTTTATTATTCTGGTCTTCACATGAATTCTAGGTCCAACTCTTTAAGTCTGTGTTGGACATCAATCATCATGTTCCTTGTGAAGTAATAAAAGAATCCAAAGTTCAAGTTGGCCCTAAAATTTTGTTCTCCCATCTCTCTTCCCTCTAACTAGCATGGGACTTAAGGCTTATTAGAATTGAGTTATATCTCTCATAGAGAAAGAGAAGGAGAGAGCATCAACTAGAACAAATGGCAGGCAAAAGTTAATACGTCTTTCAAATTTGCCACACTTGAGGGAGTAGAATTCATGTTATTCAGACCTAATTTTATACATTTTGAAGCCTTAATATGGGTGGGTCTAATCCTCGGGATTTCCCCAATATGCTTCCCGTGTACTTAAGTGGCATTACCTTGGTGACTTTTTACAGTACATTTTCATCTCCAAGAGTATAAACAAACATGCCAGAACCACTCCTGAGTTCACCTGGTTAATGAATGAGAGTGGAAACAGCTACAGATTCATTTTTGACTCGTGTACGTTTGATGCTCTTTTACCAGGACCAAAAGGATAGGAAATATTTTAATTCTTTCTTCAAGACAATCCACTTAACAAGGGAGTTCCATCACGTATTTTTGTCAGATTTTTGCAAACTATTTCACAGAACTTCAAAGCAAATAGTCTCCTTAGACCCAATGACATAAGGAATGCCATGACAAAGTCAATAATTCATTAGGTTACGGCATTTACAAAAAAAAATAAAAAAATTAATGGCCCCAAAACTAGAAAAAAAAGCCAATACAGTATGCAAAAGTAAACTCTAGCTAAAGCAGCTAATTCATACTTCAACCACCACACAACAGGTATGGTTTCACTTTTCCATGCATTATTATACCAAGGGTTTCTCCACAAGTAGATGTGGATGATTTCAAAAAAATTTCCTGATTTATGTTTTAACATAACTGTATAAGTTCAAAATTTTTCTATGACTCATCAACCACAAGATTTAAGCTCAAGATAAAATCAAAGAAGGTAAGAGACAATGGAATAACATTGCACAAGGTTCACAATAAATTCTAACCAGATTCAATAATTTAAAAAAAAAAATAGAAAAGAGTCACTAAGTCTTACTTGTCCCTTGAGGATAGAAGTTAGCTTCAACTTTTGTCTCAGCAACAGTAACTTGATTCTTTTAAGAATGACAGAATGCCGTAGTTCTGAGATTGTTACCCATGCATTCCACAAAATTTTCTGGTACAAAGAATAACATAGACTTTAAAAATCACAAGATGGTCCATTGTTCTTATCCTCAACAGTTTTAGCAACCATGTAATACACTGTAGCTACTATAGAAGCTAGTACAAACAACATTTTCTGTAAACAGTAAAAGCAAGCAAATACAGACACCACCCTCAACTGTTTTCTCAAATTATAAACAATGCCATTACATCACAAACACAAGAAAATATCTTTGATGAAAAGCAAAAATAGAGGATAAGTATTGAGATAGCTGATGGAACTGCTTTTGAAAAACCATTAGATCAGGTGGCTGACTTACTCAGAACACTAAGGGGACTGCTTATGCCTTTCTTTCTTTCTTTTTTTTTTTTTTTTTTTTTTTTTTCCTTTTTTTTTTTTTTTTTTTTTTTTCAAGTTTTTTGTTACCAGAAATTTATCGAAAACTCCAAGACTAAGAAAGAGCTATTTCTGAGTAGGAAATTTTCATGTTGATAATCTTTTGTTATATTTCTTTCTTTTTAAAATGTTCTCTAATAATGAACAACTTTTGGAAATGTGAAAAGCAAACTTTTTTTTTTTTTTTTTTTTTTTTTTTTCAGTTTTTTGTTACCAGAAATTTATCTGAAAACTCAAACAAGAAAGAGCTTTTCGTAGGAAATTTTCATGTTTGGATAAACTTTTGTTTCTCAAATGTTCTCTAAATGAACAACTTTTGGAAATGTTGAAAGCAAACTTTTCATGTTCTGTGCAATTGAATATTATCACAAAAAAGTTCAGGAAATTGTTTTCAGAAACAGAAAGGAGAATTAGTTTGCAACATAGGGGATATTTTCTTCAGAACCAAAAACAAGCTTTTAGAAACTGGCCCAGCCCAAACAATTGATCAGCAGAACTAAAACGATGAACACAAAGGCAAACTAAATTATTACGTTATTGAAAACAATTTCTGAACCCGAAAGAGCTACTAAATGACTAATTGGCCAAAATTTTGTTTCCCGACTAAATTAACATTAATTAGCATCATATTGACTATATAAACCAATTTTAATTGCTATTCTGAAGCACATACAGCATCCTTAAGGACCCTGGAAATTCCAATCTGGCTTTTGCTTAAATTGCGCAAAGGAAATTACATAGTTTAGCAAAAAGAGTAATGTAAAGGAAAAGGAAGAGTCTTTGAAAGAAATTTTTTATTATCAATCAACTTTGATTTAAAATAACAAAAAAATGATGAGCAATCCCTGTCCCTTATATTGCTAAAGTGGATATCCATGTGAATAGCTAAACAGCATTCCTATTTCTGTTCTAAAGCAGAGATTCCAATCTAAAATCCAAATAGAAAAGGGAACGATATGGAGGAGTTTTAATGTTTCTTGACCTTGAAGAAAGCATAAGGGTGTCTAGAATGTAGAAGATCGATCCAGCCACAAGAACTAAATAGTTCACTGTCATCAGGGTAGTTTATGAAACTAAGCACATACCCTAAATAAGAAAGTTAATATCAATATTCAAGATGTCTTCATAATAATGAAGCTGTATCATGATGTTGACAAATTGGGGGGCAAAATCATGTAGAATACTAGAACATAAACTTTATTCTTATGCAGCCAAATGACGTCTTGATTCTCAATCTCTTTACCTTCCTGACAATAATAAAAACTGCCTAAACTTGTACTGCAACCTCTCCCTCCACATACCAATTCTCAAAAAAATGTAGACATCTTTGTTGAATTTGTAGTTTTGATGTTACGGCAATTACATGCAATTCTTAGTTTTGATATTCCAAGAAACTTAAAAGTTCTAAGGAATCAACATCATACCAAATATGTTGATATTGTATTTAAGCAATCAATGAACATTGACCAAATAAGGAAGAATTTCATCGCACGAGAATGAACATGCAATATGATTTCATATGTACATGCAATATGATTTCATATGTTTCTTAAAGGATAGCATTACATTTATGAGCTAATTGAAGTTGCACCGAGTAGGATAAGCGAAGCGTTTATAACACAAACATAACAAAGTTTACGGATGAGAAAGCAAAATCAATTAATTGAAAACAATGAACTGCTTTTAACCTATATTTCCATACCTCTGCACTTAGTCTCTGCACCATGAAGGTAGCATCTGCCCTTGCATTTACAAACCGCCATTGCAAGTAACGGTTATACAGAAGCCTCAACATATGTGCATCAACAATTCGATCCTCCCCCATCTTCCCTCTCCTTAAATCAACAGAGAAACTAAGAATTGAAGGCATGCTACCCGAATGACTCGTCGGCCTCACTCGCGAAGGACTAGAAATCCCTCTTGATGGAGAGCAAGTTGAAGGTGTCCAAAGCTTACTAGGTGAAGCAGGCCTAGCGGCTCCCCTAATAGGTGAAGCAATTGTTTTAGGAGATGCCAAAGGACCATCACTACTAAATCTTTTTGATTGAATACTCTTCGATGAAATGCTCGTTCTTGAACTAGGACTATTAGATAATGTTGAACCCGGATCCTGCAACCGCCTCAACCTACTATTAGTTTCTTGCCAAAACCTTGCAGAAACAGCAATGCCACGAGGCCCACCTTTTCCTTTCGAAATCCCACCACCAAATTCATGCAATCCTGAAGTGCTACCAGAGGAAACGCTATCGCTATCAGATGCAGTGAGATCACCAGTAACGGAAGACTCATTTACCGAATTAGCATCTGGGTTTTGCTTAGCATTGGTTAAATCCAAGCTCAACCTCCTCTCATCAACTAACATAGATTGTTGCAATGACTTAACCATCAATAACCCAGATCCCATAGTCCTCTTATCTGCACTACTACAATCAAAACTCCTGGACAACAATGGATTTCTCTCACTAGAACACAAATTCCCTTCTCTACTCCTTCCAGGCCACCTATGCTGATCCAAAGGGCTCGAATTCTCTCCTTGATCTCTCACAGGAGTCGCTTTCCTCCTTTCTGGCGTGGCCTTTCTACCCACATTAGGCGATGTGACAGCCTTAGCCTTACTAATCGGAAGTGAAAAAGCTTCCCCTTGAAAAGACACTGATAAACTCCTTGTAGAAGTGATCAACATCCTTGTTGCAGCAGACATTTCAGTAGCATTGCCTTGTTTAGCTTCTGGGTTCGGTGTCAGTGGCCTCGCTGCCACTGGCCGCCTCCTATCCACAGATTGAGATCTTTTAGGACCCGAAAAAGAAGGCGGTGTGTTTGCAGGCCCAGAATTAGTAGGCCGCGAAAGTAAAGGTGAAGCAAATCTCTTAGCAAACGAAGATGATGATGAGGAAGAACTTGTACTGGTAGTAGTAGTTGTTGTTGTTGTTGTAGAAGAGGAAGGAGAAGGAGAAAGATATCGAGAAGGGACTTGTTTTCCTCTGGGTTTTCTCGTTTGAACACGACCCCCATTGTTATTTTGCTCTTTCTCTGAAGGTAACAATGGAGGTCTAGTTAGATTAGGGGTTTTATTAGTAGAAGTAGCTGCTTGAGAAATAGCAGCCACCATTATGTGACGAAAAAGAGTTCTGCTTCTTTTTTTCCCTCACATTTCCTCATGAAATCAAAGTATGGGTTTTACAGGTTTCATGGCTACAACCTGCAAAACAAGAAAAATTAGGTATCTTTTCAACAAATTAAGCAAGACGTGAAAAACCCAGAAATTGTTTTTGATGGATTCTGCATTTTGACGGCAAATCCTCCTTGGGTTTACAGAGAACGAAACAGTAGTAGGTAAAAGAGGTGAGATTTGTGAGAGAGAGGAGAGTCACAGGTATGGGGTTTCGTTGTTTTTGGTTATGGTGAATCTTTGGAGAGACGTTATATGTTAATTTTTAAATTAATTTAATTAATAAAGACATTTTTAGTTCTTATAAGACTTTCAATTATGGTTAGGGTATGGTTTTCTTTCTTGTTTTTGGCCTACTGTTCTTAAAAATATGGTTATTGGTATAATATGATTTGGAGAGATTGTGATAGTGATGATGATCCAAATTAACTAAGCATAATTTTTTTTTATTTCATTAATAATTTAATAATCTTTTGTTATAAGTACATTAATTATGATCCATGTTCTTTTTTAGGTGAATTATTATAATTCATATTATTACATTATAAATTAATCTTTGGTTCTTATCATTTGATCTTCACTATGAATATTAAACAACTATGAAATGGTAGATCATTTTAGGAATGGTAATAATTGGTGAATTTGGTTTTACTATTTTCTTTTGTGTTTTTATTCAAAAATTGACATTTAATATGTAGATAGAAGACTTTAATTTATGAAGGAAAGTATTATCAGTTGTTGAATAAAATATATAAAAATAATGATAATTATATAAATATATATAATATTTTCTTTTCTTTTATTTACTAGTCTAGTAAACTAATTTTACAAATTAACAATTTCTTTATTTAAATTATTTTAATATAAACTATTATAATAATAACATATCATTTTAGCTTGTTATTTGTACTAAAATAGATTTTTTAACGATTTAAAATTATATTCATAAAATAGATTTTTTAATGATTTAAAATTATATTCATAAAATAAGCAGTACAATATAACAACACATCAATTTAGCTGATTGATTATATCACTTTAGTAAATTCCTTACATAAAAATATAATACTATGTCAATTGATGTGTTATTTTATATATATATATATATATACTTTTTTATAAACTATTACCTGATATTATTTTTTCCATATATGATTAGAAATATTAATTAGTTCTAATAATATCGATATTTAAGAAAAAAAACATTAAAACAATCTATGGTATAAAAAATAAAGTAATTTTTACATATCTATCTAGCTAGATCATGTTATAATAAAAATATAAATTATCCCAAAATATTTTGGAACAAGCAAATGATGTCTGACTCGAGTGATAGGGATCTTATCTTTATTTTTTGGTTGAAATCACCGGTATTCAGACTTTATCACTAGGAACCGACTAAATTTGATTTGGAGTTTAATCACAGTTAAGATTTTTTTGCCCTTCTCTACAGGTGTATTTAATGAAAATTGGATCCAAAAGCTCTTTTCACATACTCAGTTTGCATAGCCAACTAGCCACAATCCGTAGGTACTTTTTCTATCTTTGCTAACAAAATATTAGAAATTAAATATTATGTTTGTATTTTCACCTATCTTTTTATTTGTAAGAAATTAAATATTAAAATAACATTCTGAATTATATAAATTTTAGATACAGCAAATAACATTTAGTAATACAACATAAAATTGTTTTCTCTAGGCCATTTATTTTCTTAACCTTGTTTAATATATTGTATTTCATTAATTAATAGATTTTCAATAAATCTTTAAAAAAATTATATTAACATTTGAAATTTATTTGTTAATAACATTTAAAATACAAAACAATTGGAGAAAAGGTATTCATATGTAATTAATTACTTCCTTTTCTTTAATTAACATGATTCCAAACTGTTCCCAACTATAATTAGTTAATTACTATCATTAGCAAAATATAATAACTATGGTCATATAATAATTATTTTCCCAATAAATTACTAAATTTTATGAGGCAACTTTTGGTCCCAACGCTTTCACATGAATGAAATCTCGTGTATAATTATTGATTAATTGATAATTTATTAACTTAATTAAGTTTTGAAATGATTAAACAGTAGTACAGCTAGAAATAATTCATTGGATTCTTACGCTAAAAAAAGAAATTAAGTAGCTGAAATAAATAAAAATATCTGACAAATGGTTACCACTACAGAGCATCTCACATATCATTTTGGCATTTTACATCCATTTGAATATTACTTTTTTTTTTTTTTTTTTAAATGGAGCAAAATGGTTATATAAAAATATAAATTAATTTTTATAAAAAGTTTTTATAATAATGAGTTCTAAATTTTAAGATTGAGCTCGGTTCGATAAAAGTTCTCGATGAGCTTTCAAGCTAAATGTCGTTAGATTCGAATTCGGACTTGATTCAACCCGAATTTTTTCGAATTTCTTTCGAGTCAGCTCAGCACATTTAGACCCCTAGATTTATCGATTCACCAATAAAGTTTTACTGTTTACTGAATTGATCAATTTACTATATTAGAATTGTCTTTTAAAAACATAAATAAATAAAATGATGTTGTTTTAAGTAAATTGGTCAATCGAAAATTGAGAATTTTTTGAGTATTTTACCAAACTATTTAATGGTTATAAATTTTATCTAAAAAGTTTACTGACAGTTTATTATTTACCAATTTATTGAACCATTTTTATTAAATAATCTCAGCTTGACTTAGTAAATCGGTAATTACCGAAGTTTATCCACCTCTAATTTTGAAAACAAAGGAATAGGGATAGTTGAAAGCAAAAAGCAAAGCAACTGTAAGAATTTTTCCCCATAAACTAGGAATTAAAAAAAGATTAGGCATGATATAAATGTTTGATTGACTCTCACACAACACTCAAAGAAAATGAATTAAAGAGAAGAAAGAGAGAGTACCTGAAGAGGACATGAATGAGCTAATTAACCTTCATGAAAAGGGCTTTCAAGCAGAAACAAAAGGGGAGGCTTTGATGGTGTCATCTATTGCAAATGCAACACCAAAACTTAACTTTAATAGAATTTCTTATAAAAAAGAGACAAAAATATTGCCTTGTGATTTTTGCAAGCTAAGCTATAAATAACTCATTTCTTAATTAATTAATTAATTAAAATTAATTAGTTGATTACATAAACAAGATGCAACATCTTATTCCATCTCTCTCAATCTCATCTATCCCTTGCTTTTAACGCATTTTTTGTAGTATTATTATGATTATCATTATTAATTATTTATAAGGAAATGTCACAACCTATCACACAGAGTTAATTTAATATATTTTTCTTAATAGCACGTTTTGAGCGTATCGACTATTAACTACGGTGAAAAATGCAAAATCAAAATTTTTAGAAATCAACTCAATTTTAATCCTAAACTATTAATTAAAACATAGTCAAACCAGATGGTATTTTCAATTGAAACTAAATAAACTGACTAACAAAACTCCTATTGAGTAGGCTAACTGAATTGAATAAAAATGGATCGGTTCGGTCATTTGATAGGAACACCCCTAGGTATGGATAGTTATTAATGAAAATGGGTACAAGTATAAGTTTATAGGTATCCGCTATCCATTACCATTTATATTAAATGAGTTTCCTTATATGGGTACCCATGTGTATTTTACCCATTATTGATAAAAAATATATTTTAAATAAGTTCGAGTTTGGATAATTTAAAATTTACAAATGTTCTATCTATTTAAATTAAGAAGTAATTTAAATAGATTTGAAATGGCATGGATAGTAAATTTTTAAACGGATTGAAATATAGGTATTCAAATATAGGGGTAAGCATTCGTTTCGATCAATTTGGTTAATTCAGCCAAATCTATTTCTGTGAATAAACATTTGGTTAAAAAATTTATCGGTTAAAGATTCGGTTAAAAGTTAATTTAACCTAATTAATCAAATTAACCGACTCTCAAAAAACTATGTCATTTCGATGAAGTAAATAATAAAATTAAATATAGTAAAATATCCGTACGGAGAATAAAAAAATTTAAAATATTTCTCCCCATGCCACTTGCAATCTAAGTTTTTTTTTTTTTTTTTTTTTTTTTTGATCACATTTGGTTAATTCAGCAAAATCTATTTCTGTGAATAAACCATTTGGTTAAAAAATTTATCGTTTAAAGATTCGGTTAAAGTTAATTTAACCTAATTAATCAAATTAACCGACTCTCAAAACAACCTATGTCCATTTCGATGAAGTAAATAATAAAATTAAATAATAGTAAAATATCCCGTACGGAGATAAAGAAAATTTAAAATATTTCTCCCCATGCCCACCTTGCAATCTAAGTTTTTTTTTTTTTTTTTTTTTTTTTTTTTTTCAAAATGATTATTTTACTGTGTTGTCTCAATCTTGCACAATTTTAGTTTTAACATAGAATTAGCTTTTCTAAACTACGCAGCTTAACTAAAAAAAAGGATCTAATTAGGTTAATTAAGGTCAACTTTTCTTTTCCTTTCAACTTGGTGTTTGGGTCCCTTCAAAGCCAAATATCTTCAGACTGAAATACAAATGATAGTCAACTGTAAAAAGCAATTAGAAAGGTACTGTGTCGTATGTCTGATAGCTCTTCTTTTTATTTTTTTTTTAATCATTAAAAATTACTAATTAAAAAAAAAAGGATACACATTCACAATTTTAATTTCAAAGAGAATTTTGAGAATTTCAGAGTATTTTATTAGCCATTAAATTAAATTTAAAACTATACTTATTTGATGTAATAATTATAGTTTCACTTATTATTAATTATTAACGTGGAAAATTGTCGAGACTTTAATTTTAATCTTTTTAAGTCAAAAATAATAAAGTTGGTATGGATTGAAATTTTCATTCTTCACTGATCATATTTCAATATAAAAAAAATAAAGAGCTTTGGAGAAAAAAAAATTCATATGAATCTTACTAATGCTATCAGAGATATATTTATGGACATGCTGTGACAAGTGTGGGAACAATTGTCAAAAATGTAGAGAAGTTTCTTATAACTGTTTGGATAAATCAAATTAAGATCTGCTTTCAGCCTATATTTATTCTAGTAATGGATAAGCTAAATAGTATCATATATACAATTTACAAGATGAAGTTCCCTAGTTATATTATTCGCAAATGAGATTGTCCTAATTCATAAAACACGTGAAGGATTAAACAAAAAATAGTTGGTTACTGTGGAGGAGCAATCTCGAGACTCGGGCTTTAAGCTAAGTAGGAGCGCCATGTAATATACTCT